AGTGTTGCCTCTTCTAATCTCTCTCTCTCTTCTGTGCCTTTGACCAGGCTTTCCCAGTGCCTGGAATATTCTCTCCTACCTTTGCCTTTCAGAATCTCCTAGTTACTTCAAAGCTCCTCAAGTGTGGTCTCCTAAATAAAACTTTTAGTGATAACCTCCCTCTTGTTAGTGCTCTTTCCCAAATGACTTGGATATTACTTGTTATGGATTGCTTATTTGTGTGTAACAGATCTCTGTAAACAGATCTAGAAAACTCACCAGACTGAATCCTGATTAGGAAATCAAAAAAAAAAAAATCACAGTGAGTTATTTTTGTAACCCAGATCGGCAAAGGGAGACAGACAGGTCTGTGAACACTGGGTATGAGGTTCGGCCAGGAGTACTCAGTACAGAGTATTCCAGAACAAGGAGAGGCTGGACAGCAGGACAAGAAGAGGTCCCATTTCCAAGATAGAGGGTTTTAAGGTTCAGGAATAGATGCCAACTGACAGCTTTATTGCACACTACCCAATTCCAGGCCATAGATCCTGGGCAGACTGAGGAGGGGACCTAAGAGTAGTATTTCAGAGTGAGGAGCAGTTGAGGGCCCTAAGCTGTGGTGCCCATTAAGGAGCAAGTTAAGAAACAAGCAGCAGCTGTGTGGCTTGGATCTTGGTAGAGGAGAGAGGTCTCAGATCCAGCTTCTAGCCCAGTCTGAAGCCTATATAGAAATGACCAAGACTGGAATCTTAGACCAAAGTACAGTTGTGTCACTGAATCAACAGAGCTATTATCTAGCATGCTGGCTAAATCCAGAATAGTCTAATGAAATCCCAAATAGGGCAAGCCTACAGGCCTATTGTTCAGACCCAAACCCAGGTCAGGAACTTGATCAGGGGAGTAAGAATCAGACTTTGTCCTGGATCAGACTATTTTGGCAACACTGAACACGAAAACCTTGCCGGTCCTCAACACCTCAGCCGGTGTTGTTGAGATCCTGAAACAATACATTTAGTATCCTAAGAAAGCAGCAACAGGACAAACCCAGACATTCTCTCCAGGAATGTGAAGAGCCTTTAACATCATGTCTGAAGTCAGGAAGTAGCTGGAAGAATGAGAGAAAAAAAAAAAGAAGAAGAAGAATCCTTTCATAAGAAGCTGTTATTGCATCAAAGATGCTCAAGACATCCTGAAGAAGAGAATGACTCCAAAACTTATCTACAAGCAAAGTCTCAAAGAAAAGCACAACTTGAGTTACAAATTCAAATAGAATTCCTGGAAGAGATGAAGCAAGAGTTTTTTTTTTAATGGTTGAAAATGTTTTTATAAATTAAATAAGAGAACTGGAGGGAAAAAATGGAAAAGAAATGAGAGCTATGGAAGAAAGAATTGGAAAGGGAATTGGTAGCTTGGTACAAGAAGTACAAAAACTTGCTGGAGCAAATACCCGAAAATTGGAGTAAACCAAATAGAAACTAATGACTACATGAGAAAAAAAAAGAAATATTTAAAACAAAGTCAAAAGACTGAAGAAAAATAGAAGAAAATATAAAGTATTCCACAGCAAAAAGTACTGGCCTGTAAAACAGATTGGGAAGATATAATTTAAGAATTATTGAACTTTCTGAAAGCCATGCCCCCAAAAAGTTCCTAGATATTATATTTCAAGAGATGACTAAAGAAAACTGTTGACATCTCTTAGAACCAGAGGGCAAAATGGAAATAGAAAAAATCCAACTGTTACCTCTTGAAAAAACTCAAAAAACTCCTAGGAAATTGTAGCCAAAGTCCAAAGCTTTCTGGTCCAATGAAAAATAAAACAAGTAGCCAGGAAGAAAGAATTACATGACCAAGGAGCTGTCATCAGGATCATATGCGATTTTGGAGCCATCACAATAAAGGAGCAGAAAGTTTGGAATGGATATTCCAGAAAGCAAAGAACATAGTAGGCTTATAACTAAGAAAGTACCCAGAAAAACTCAGCATAATCCTAACAAGGGGGGAAATGGATCTTTAATGAAATAGAGGACTTCCAAGCATCCCTGATGAAAAGAATAGATCATTATATAAACATTGAAGGGCAAACACAGGAATCAAAAATATAAAAAGGTAAACAGTCAAAAGTGGCTAAACAAGGATAAACTGCTTACATTTTAATATTGGATGATGCATGTGTCCCCTCTGATCCTTATCATCAAGAGGTATAGAGGGAGTCTAGACAGAAGGGCAAGCAGTGGTTCTCATTTGTCACCTGGCTGCACGATTTTGTGACTTCTCTGACTGGTTTCTCCACCCTATTCCCATGTAGGGTACCATCCCTCTCCCCTTTTTAGCTTTCTTTTGTGTATTGTTTTCCTTCATTAGATTGTAAGCTCCTTGAGGGCAGTGACTTTTTTTTCTTATTTGCATACCCTAGTGCAGTGCCGTGCACATAGTAGGAGCTTAATAATAAGTGTTTATTGACTGTTTTATATCTTGATGATTTTACAAAGAAGAATGAAAAGAGAAGGAAAGAGGAATATATTAGGGGTTGGGGAGAGAGGTTCAGAAAAATTATTTTAGTTTGGCACCACTGTTCTAGCCTGTCTCCCTAGATGATCTCATTAGCCCCATGAGTTCAGTCTCTATGCAGATGATTCTCAGATCGGTATATCCAGCCCTAGTCTTTTTGCTGAGCAATTACATGTCATCCATCAGGTGCCTCTTAGGCATTTCAAACTGGATGTTTCATAGGCATCTTACACTCAGTATGTCCAAAACATTATCTTTCCTCCCAAGCCCTCTCCTTTCTACATTTCCATAATACTGGCAGTCAGCTAGCGTTTATTAATTGCTTATTGTGTGCCAGGCACTGCTAAGTGCTGGGGATACAAATACAAGCAAAAAGAAAGTCCCTGCCCTCAAGGAACTTACATTCTGATGGGTGAAGAAGACACATAAAAGGAGATCTGAAAAACAGGATGGTGACCAGTTGAGGGTGCAGTGGCTAAGTCCAGAGAATAAGGGATGGCTAGTCTGTGCTATTCCCCAAAATATAGGTTTTAGGAAGATCTCACCAATGGGAGAAGGGGACCACCATCTTCTGAGTTACCTGGGCTGTAAACTTGGTGTCATTCTTGACTTCTCACTTATTCTCATCCACATTTGTTGTCAGGGCCTATCATTTCTACCTTCATATCTCCCTTGTACGTAACTCATTTCTACTCATATAGTCACCACCCTATTTAAGACCCTTTTCACTTCTCTCCAGGATTATTGGAATATCTTTCCAATTGGTTTTCCTTTAGGTTTCTTCCTTTTTCAGTCCATCTTCTATGTAGTTGTCAAGATGATTTTTCAAAATCACAGGTCTGACCAAGTCAGATGAGCTCCAGAGTTAAAAATACATTCCTGTCTTTGACATCCAGTCATAACCTGGTGCCTTTTTACCCTTCTGAACTTTTTAGACCTCACTCTTCTCATATACTTTGCAGTCTAGCTACACTGATCTACTTGCAGGTCCTCAAACCTAAAGTTCATCTCCCATTGCTGTGCCTTTGCACTAGTTGACACCCATGCCTAGGATGCTCTGCCCCTTCACTGTGCCTCTTAGTTAACCTGACTTTCTTCAAGACTGAGCTCAGATCTCTCCTTCTGCTGTTAGCCTTTCCTGTTCTTCCCAGCAGTTAATGACTTCCAATTTTAGATGACCTTCCATTTACTCTGTTTCTATCTTGTATGTATCTAGTTATTTACATTTCTCCCTTTAGGATGTGAACTTGCTGAGAACAGGAACTAAATATGTGTGTGTATGTATATTTTGCCTTTCTTTTCCCAGTGCTAAGCACAGTGCCTGGCACGTAGTGAGCACTTAATAAATACTTATTGACTGACTTGAGTTTTTTATTAAAGTAGGACGTGAGGTCCTCTGCTGAGAAGGAACAAGGAGAATATGATAGAGGATATTAGAGAAGAAAAAAGAAGGTTCGGAATAGTTGCTGTGAATAGTATGATAGAAAGTCAGTTAAGAAAGAATGAAGCTTTTAATTTGTCATATGGTAATGAGGGCACAGTTAAGATTAAATAACTTAAGTTTATCTTGAATTCATATGGTGTGGTTGCATTCCTTCCTTCACTAGCATTTAGGATCATGTGAGTAGCAGTAGAGAAGGATCACCTCCATCATCTGCCAAGGTTTGGGTTTGAGAAGTCAGATTCAAAGGGTAGCTGATCTTAATGTATGGTGTTGGTGGTATTGTCGAGGATATTGAGGCCAGAGGAGAGGTGATGAACTGGGAAAACAGGAACGGATCATGGTTAGGATGAAAAATAGGCTTAGGAGGAGTGAAGTAGACAGAGAAGGATAGGAGATTGTTAATGGAGAAAGTAATTTCAGAATTTCAGATCATAGAGGCATAACAGTCATGGGAGATGGTTCCACCCCTGTATATGGCTGAGGTGTTAAGATGGAGGGAATTGATTCTTAGAAGGTTAATGAATTGGGGAGGGTGCAGTGTGTTTGAGACGACATCAACTTTGAAGTCTCCAAGTATGAGGGCAGGAGGTGAGGTGAAGGAGGAAAGCTACGACCCCAGGTATGAGACTTCATGATAAAGAAAGGACAACAACATGGAAGTTGATAGATGACTTTGACAAGGCTTTCATCTGTGTGGTAAAGGTAGATGGAGGAAACTCAGAGGAAGAGAGGTTGCTGCATCCTTTGTAGCAAAGGGACAATTTGAAAAGTAGAGTAAGGAGCAAGGAGTGTGTATACTCTTCTAGGCCTATGTTTGTGGGAAACCATATATTTCCAGATAATATAAACTCTGTAAAATTATGGTTAATACGATATTTGTGAAGTAAATCAATACATGCAACCTAAATCTTGCAAAATGTGCACATTAATGCTAATAAGCATTCTAAGCAAAGGAATGTTCTTTCATCCCTGTATGTGTTGGCCTCCAGCACTTTCTTCCTTGCCTTTCTCCTGTTTATTTGATTCCCAGGTGATCAGTTTTCCCTCTGTGTTGTCTCTTAACCAGGAAAAAATTGGGATGTAAGTGCAGCCCTCAGTGATTTTGAACAGCTTCGTCAGGTCCATGCTGGGAACCTGCTCCCACCCTTCAGTGAGGGTCGTAGTGGCCCCAGACCCCCTGAGAAGGGACTTCCTGAAAGGGAGCCCACTCGTCCCCCCCGGCCCACCCTTCATCGTCAGGATGACATTATCCAAGGTACAGGGGTATGCCAAAGGAGTAGGGGAGGGGAAGGGAGGTATTGGAAACGGGATTTAGTAACATGCACTTATATTTTGTCAGTAGCCAGCAGAGCCCTCCAGTTGTCCTCCTCTCTTCTAAGCAAGAAAGCCTTAATGCATTCAGCCTGTAGGGTCTCTCAGTCAAAGTCAGTGTATTTCAGCCATTTTAGGGGCCATATTTGGGGCTCTGTTTTGAGCTCTGTGGGAGAGGAGAGAAAGGAAAAAATATAATCCCTGAATTTGATTTAGAACTCGAGCTAATGGATAGGATAGGATACACAGGGTGGAAAAAAACCCAAAGAATTCCAACAGATTTAAGGTACCATAAGTGACTATAGTCAACTCTTGATTACATTTTGCATATTATTTATGGCAAATTTTTGACAAAAGCCTTTTTTTTCCTTGCCACTCATAGCAGTTCTATTTCATATTGCCTTTTTGCCTATGTTTGTTCAGGGAATGAAAATTAATTGTAATAGCATGTAATTAGGTAGATCCGGACTAAAACAATCATATAACATACAAAAACCACATAATTATTTTTTGGATTATACATAATATTGCTTTCCTACATTAAAATATATGATCAAGAGTTGACTGTGTACGTAACTGCTGTTACAAACAGGTACTTGGGAGTAGTGTGGTAAATGAAGTGAACAAAGTGAGCTAGGGTTAGTCAGACAAGTTTTTGGGTAAGGCTATCAGTTATTTTCTTTCCCCAAATGAAAATTCTTCTCTAATTATCCTCAAGACCTTATTGCTTAAACAATCTTCTATCTAAAAGAAGCTCCAAACTGAGGTCCAAAGGTTCTACTCCACCTGTGTCTTGGAATGGCCAGTGACCTTGTTGGTGGGAAGTGGAAGTGGGAAGGACCCAGTCTTAGGGAAGGAAAGACCTAGGCAAGCTCTGATTTGAAGAGGAAAGAATGAGTATTTGGTCATTTTGTTGGTGTTAACTTCAAGGCTGTAGGTCCTGGGGTTGTATTCTTGTTTTGTCAGAGGGGTGGTCTGCACATGTTATTCTGTATCTTCCTCCCTCCCCCATCCCATTTGGTCTGTGGAAGGGGGATTTTTGAAGTTCTATTTAAATCTATGAGGATAACAGTTTCTTTCTGATTGGAGTCTCAATGGAAAGACCATGACTTCTGATAGCATTTGTACTTTTTCTGGTTAGGGAGCGAGGTTTTATATTCTAAAGGGGATCCATTTCTCTTTGCAGAGAAACGCTTGTCCCGGGGCATCTCTCATGCCAGCTCCAGCATTGTTTCCCTAGCCCGTTCCCATGTCTCCCCTAGTGGTGGGAGTGGGGGGACCAGTGAACACCCTCTGGAGATGCCCATATGTGCCTTCCAGCTTCCAGACCTCACTGTATTCACTGAAGATTTCCGCAACTTCATTGAGAGAGATCTCATCGAGCAGTCCATGTTGGTTGCCCTGGAACAAGCAGGTCAGCAAGGGGGGCTCTAAATCCATTTTGTTCCTTTCACCATTCTTGAGAAATAGGACTGATGTGTTATTTAAAGATTAGGCCTGCAGCCTCCAGGTTCAATGCATAAGGTACCATTTAATGACATTCAGAGTTTATAGGCAGCTAGACACTATCTATTGAATGTTCCCTTATATACTCAATAGTGTACGAAATTTAGTCCTCAGTGTTTTGGAGTGAATAGATGAAGATGGAGACAAACATTGTTTGTGTTCTCTAGAAGCCTTTAGTCAACACACAAGGGAGAGCCTTAGAAGTGCTTACAAAGCAGTGTATAAAATGAATACCAGCTGAGTATGATCAACTCTCAATTACCCATGCTAGTGGAAAGGAGAATTTGTGACAGAGAACTCATAGGAATCCCCTAGTGATCACTGTGGCTGTGATTTTTTCTCAACAAACAGATTTACCTTCCTAATTATGTGTGATTTAGGTCATTCTTAAAATTAGCTTTGTATGGTAGGGAGAGGCAGCTGGGAGTGTGCTGAGTTTAGGGGGAGGGTAATTCCAGCTATGTATAAGAAATACCTGTGGATAATCCACAAAATTAGCTTATGTTTTCTGTGGATTAAATATAAAGCAATGACACTGGTTTTTCTGGTTGGTTTGTAGAACTTGGTATTCTAATAATTGTATATATGTGATGATATGCTACCATATATGTCATGTATGAAAGTGGTGCCACCATAAAAGTGCCCCTCCTTTCATCTTTTTGCAGGGAAGGGGACCTGGGGTTGTGGGATGCTGCATATTCATGTTGGACTTTGTTGATGTGTTCATTAGTTTTGATGAACTGTTTTTTCCTCTTTTAGTCTTTGTTACAATCTTTGGGAGAGGAGGGAGGGACATATTGAGGAATGCAAATGATGTAAAAACAAAAGATATCAATAAAAAATTTTAAGAAAAAGAGAAGTATGTTTTTGACATTGATAGGATACTTGCTGATCCATCTTACAGCAAATAGTATATATTTGCCAGGTAGCTGAATAAGGTAAAGAAGCTCTCTCTGGCCATACAGTATCAAGGCTATGAACCTGCAGCCTCAGCCTTATTAGCATTTCTCTCTAACCATTTGAACTTTGTTGCTTCAGACTGACTCCAGAGGAATTTAAGAGTAAAAAAGTGATCCATGCTTGGTGGGATTATTCACATTTTAATTTGAGTCATTTTGGCAGGACCAGAAGCTCAGGGCTTGAGGGAAAGGATGATTATTTAACCTACTTTGTCCATTTCTTGCCATCCTCAATGTTTCTGTAGGGCGTCTAAACTGGTGGGTAAGTGTGGACCCGACCTGCCAAAGACTTCTGCCTTTGGCAACAACAGGAGATGGAAATTGCCTCCTGCATGCAGCTTCTCTTGGTAAGTCGTGGCCTGGTTTTTTGACCTCCTCCAAGATTTCTGGTTTGGGGAACAGGAAGGAAAACTGTGGAGCCCAAGGGCAGATAATATTTTTGTCAAAAGAGGCAGCTGAATTTCTGAGATATGAAGGAAATCCATTTGAACAATTCTAGAGTGTCCTCCATGCAGAGAGGGGAGCCGTTAAGTCTGACCTCCTGTGTGCATCATCATCTGACTTTTAGGTGAGACACATGTGTCAGTGCTGAGCCAGCCAGCTCAGGGAACAGAGACAGTAGAAAGAAAGCAGGCACAGTGTAGGCTCCATTAGGGAGCATATCTGCATTAAACTGTCACCCGCTTTCATAACTTAACCTTTCATACTACTTGGGATGAAAAGCATGTCTGTCTTTTCCTCTTTTTTCACATACATAATCAATAGTCATTACTTCATTGTGAATCCATAAAGATGATTTTTGGAGTTAAAATAGCAGCCTCTGCTTGCAGCTCTTGGTAGTCTTCATCTGTCCAGAGAACTGTTTTCCTTCCCTCCCTCATCTCCCCCATCTCTTATGGCTGCATGACAGCCCATTCTTTCTTCTTCTGTGGTTTCCCAGCAGTCTGTAGATGTGTGTAAAACTACATTTCTGTATGTTCTTCTTATCCTGCTATGTTCTGCTTAAAGTTATCTCACTTTAGTGCATCAGGAAATAGCTCCAGCCCAAATTTTTACACACCCACAACTCTAGGACAGTGTGAATATTGGTTATGTATAGAGGGAGTACTCTTTTAAGATTAGTTTTTCTGATATTTTTGATTTTTAGTGTGTTAGACTTTGTTTAGTTGTGAAGATTCCTTAATAGGGGTTTGTAGAGATAGAGCCCTTCTAAAAGTTTCACAACCAGTAAATCAGGATCTGCCTCTCCTTGAAACATGGTGCCTGGGAGTTGTAGCAACCTGAAATAGATTGGGCAGAGGTCAGGAGGAACACGGTTCTCTGGTCTATTCACTTGTTCTCTGAAATATACAGTCTTTGAACTTGAGGCTCAGCCTACTTTGCTTCAGTGCTTGCCGCTGCCATTTTTCCTTCTCAAGTTCTCTCCTTCTATAGGGATGTGGGGTTTCCATGATCGGGACCTAATGCTGCGTAAGGCACTTTACTCACTGATGGAGAAGGGAGTGGAGAAGGAGGCACTAAGACGGCGTTGGAGGTGGCAGCAAACACAGCAGAATAAGGAGGTAGGAGAATCTAAATGGGAAAACCTTCCAGTGTTATCTAGGCAGATCCCCAAAGGTAGAACTTGCTAGGTTCTCATTCTACTACTATTGTATTTTTACTACCTTCAAAAGTGCATAAAATTCAAATTACCCCATAGGACAGAGATTCTTGGAGGATAGGGCAGGAGACAAGAACCACCCATCTACAGAATATTTGGCACTGTGCTCTTTGCACATTGTAGGTACTCAGATGCTTGTTGGTGATGACGTGTCTAACAGATGGTATCATTTATGCCTCTAGCTATAAAACAGCTTTAAGTTCTTACTGATGTGAAACAAATTATTGATTTTATTCCATGAAAGTAGATAACCTTTCCCTCTGTAAAATGAAACATGACAGTTTCTACTTTTCAGGGAGGTGAAAAATAAGGATTTTTTTTTTCCTATGAAAAATGAGAAAGGATTTTTGGAACACTCGTGTTTCCAAAACTTATGTAAAAAAATAACGCATTTTGAAAATGTCAGTTAAAAAATTTTGAGGAGGGGGAAGGGGAAACCAAACCTCTGATTTCTTTGGTTTACAGAGCTCCCAATGAGGAACTTCCTGAACTTATAGAGGATTTTATTCTATCGAAATTTAGTACAGTGAGTTAGGAACTATGCTTTTTCAGGTCTTTGGTAAATATTTAGCCAATCAGTAGGCTCATCAGATTATATTTAACATCTCTCTTATTTGGTACGTTTGTATGAACTTATTAAGCCTCTCTGTCTTTCTATTTATCCTCCCATCCATCTTTCTTATTTCTATTCCTCACTTCTTGACTATCTCTTTCACTCTGATCTGTGTCACTGTCAGTCCGTTTTTGTGTTTCTCTTTCTTCTTTCTTTTGGTTTCTCTTTTCTCTCACCTTTCCACCTTTCTCCTTTAACTGTAATTTGTATCTGAAATATGTTGTTTATTTGTTGTTTGTTGAGTAGTGTTTCTTGTGTCTCTGTTTAAAAAAATGGAGTGACTTATATTTCCCCTCTCCAAAAAAAATCGCCACTTCAGATTATTATTTTTTTTCACTTGATGTGTTTCTCAGTAGTTGGCTTTTCCTGTAGATTTGAGCTTCTGAATTGATACAGGGCTTTCTTTTCCTGCTGTTAAGGAGTGGACGAATAGAAGTTAGTGATAGCTAGTAATCTGGGAAGATACTCCCCCTAGTGGCCAAGATATATATTTAGTTGTTGTTTAGTCATTTCAGTTGTCTGACTCTTAGTGACCCCATTTTTTTTCTTGGCAGAGATACTGGAGTGCTTTGCCTTTTTCTTCTCCAGATCATTTGACAGATAAGGAAACAGAGGCAGGCAGGGTGAAGTGACTTGTCCACAATCCCACGACTAGTGTCTGAAGCCAGATTTGAACTCAAGAATATAAGTCTTCCTGACTCCAGGTCTGGCATTCTCTCCACTGAGCCACTTAGCTGACCTATTTAGCAGTTAGGGAAGGAGGGAAATCTTTATATGTGGTTTTCTTTAGTAGCATAATCAACTACATATGCTTTAATTATGGGTTATTTGCTTAACTAATTTTTTTTCTTCTTTTTGCCCAGATTTATAATTTTGTCAGTTGTAGGGAGTTTCTCTTTTGGAAACTCCTTTCCTTGATGCAGTGTCTATAACTTTTAGTCTTAGTTGCTTGGGTGACTAGCCCATCATCACACAGCTAGTATATATCAGAAGAAAGGCATTGAATCCAAATTGTTCTGACTCTAAATGAAGAGGTAGATGATATTCGGAGTTGGGTTGTCCAGAAAGAATCCAGAGGGCAGAGGTTCTCCTAGTCAAGAGAACTTTGTTATCTCAAAAGTGGCAGGTTAGTCCTGGGTGAAGACTAGCAGCTTGGAATAAGACCGGGGCTTACTTTTACACCCAAGTTTTGGGTATAGGATGGGGGGCATGCTCCCACGTGGGCAGTTAGCCACAGGGAAGGATGTCAGGAAAGGGGAGGCAAGAAAAGAGACGCAGGTGTGTTGAGTACTTTACAAGACAGTTCAGGGATGTGGTCACAAAGCAGGGAATTTAACTTGCAACATTCAAGGATATGGGTATGAACATTAGGGGTAAGTCACATATACAGAAAATAATAAGGTTTTCTTATCAACAGATAGGGCCCCCCTGTTACTGGGCAGATACAGATTTAGCAAGGCTCTCATTGTTGCTGGGCAGAAGTCAGCCACATCATAAAGAAGGCTTTCTCTCTATTACCCAATGCTGCCTCTGTTTCCTTTTGCTTGTTTTTAATTGAAGAAAAGCTTGTTCCCCATATCTGAGATGTCTCTGGGGTGACTTCCTCTCTCATCATTTAATTCAATCCAGTAACATTTATTAGGTGCCTGTTGTGTGCTGGGCTCTATGCTAGATGCTCGTGATACAAAAATAAAAATGAAATCAACTTAAAGGAAGCTAGATACTCCAGCGGGGTAGAGATGAGGAAAGAGAACATGCTAGGCATCGGGGTGGATATAGAATGCTAGACTTGGAGTCAGCATTACCTGAGTACTCAGACACTTACTAACTGTGTGACCCTGGGAAAGTCACTTCACTTCCTATTTGCCTCAGTGTCCTCATCTGTAAAATATGGGGATAATAATAGCCCTTACCTCCTGGGGTTGTGAGGATTAAATGAGATATAATAATTGTAAAGTGCTTAGCACAGTGCCTGGCATATAACAAACACTATATAAATGTTAGCTGTTATTAGCTATTATTATTCTAGGCATTGGGGATAGCCTATGTAGAGGCACAGAGGTAGATGTCATGTTTAGGGACCATTGAGTAGGTTGAAATATGGAGTGAGGAGAAATAATGTGAAAAAAATGGATAGATGGGTTGGAGTCAGATTGTGAATGGCTTTAAATGTTGAACAGAGGACTTGTTATTTTATTCTAGTGGCAACAGGGATCCATTGAAATGTTTTAAGCAGGAGAATAATGACATGGTTAGAACCCTGTGCATTAGTGTTATTGTTTTGGTTGCTGTGTGGAGGATGTGTAAAGGAAGAAAGTAGAATGACCAGAAAAGAGACTGTTGTAAAGTCTGGGTAAGAGGTGATGAGGGTCTGAATTAGGGTGGTTCGGTGTGAGTGAAGGAGACATGTGAGATGTTGTGGAGTTAAAATTGATGGGAATTGGCAACATACTGGATAACTGGAATGAGGGAAAGGGAAAACTCCTAGATTGCAAACCCAGGTGACCAGAAGAATAGGGGTGCCCTGGACAGAAGTAGCGAAATTAGAAGAGTTAAGGGTAGGCCATACTGAGTTTGGAAGCCTTTGGAGCATCCAGGTAGAAATGTCCATCTGGCAGTTGGTGATTCAGGACTAGAACTTAAGAGAGATGATTAGATATCTCGATATGGGAATCATCTGCGTAGGGATGATAATTGAATAATCAGGAACTGCTGAGATCACTAAGGGAAGGTATGAAGAGAGATGGGAAGAGGGGCCTGTACAAAACCTTTTGGTATAACTACGAAAAGGGGATAGATAAGACAAGAATGATGATTTCACAAAGGGAGTTGAGAAAGAACTGTCAGGTAAAGAAGTGAACCAGTAGAGAACAGTGTCATGGAAATACAGTGAAGAGAGTATGTAGGAGGAAGGAGTGGTTAGAAAAGATGAAGCCTGAGGAATGGCCATGGGATTTAGCAAATCAAAAGATGATCTTTGCACAAATTCTTGGAAGGGCTCAAGTAGAATGATTGAGTTTGGCAAGAACAAGGACGACTTCTTTCTTTGAGACTGGAGCAAAAGAGGGGAGGATGGGGAATGATGATATTTGAGAGGTAGAATTGGGGAAAAGAGGGAGCTCCACATTAGATGGCCTTTATCTTCTCAAATATGAAGTAAGAGTCTCTGCTGTAAGGGAGAGTGGTGGAGAAGTGGAGGTTTCTTGAGGAGGGATAAGGTTTGGAATAGGCATTGTGAGTTTGAGTAAAAAAATTAATTGGGTTTTATGGCTTTACTTTTTTGTGGGTGCTCATCATTTGGGAATGACTGAACAAAATGTGGTATATAAATATGATGTATTATTTTTGTTTTATAATAAATGGTTAATGTGGACTATTCAGAGAAACTTGGGAAGATATGTTATGATTAAAAAAAAAATGATGAAAAAAAATGTTCCCAATCACTGATAATAAGAGAAACACTGATTAAGATACCTCATACCGATAGGCAAAGATGATGAGAAAGGAAAATGACAGTAATTGGAGGGACTATGGTAAGATGTCAACACTAATGTGATGTTGATTTGTGAACTGGTTTAACCATTCCTGAAAGTAATTTGGAATTATGTCCAAAAAGTCACTGACCCATGTCTGCCCTTTAATGCAGCAGTACTGCTTCTAGTTATTTTACTAGATCAGGAGAATATGTGTTCATATGTATATGTGTACAAAAATATTTATATTAGAGCAGCAGAGAACTAGAAATAGTAAGTGCCTGAATGGTTGAAATTATAGTATGTGAATGTAATGGAATATAGGTTCTGTAAGAAACTATGAAAGGGACAATTTCATGGAAACTATTTTATGAATTGGTGCAGAATGTAGTGAACAGAACCAGGAGAACAATTTATGTAATGTAAAGAAAAAAGACTTTGAAAGACATAACTGTGATTGATATAGTAACTAACTGGGACTCTAGAAAACCAATGATGGAACATGCTAGCTAGGGAGAGTTGATAGACTGAGGTATAGAGTGAGACCTACATTTTCAGATGTGGCCAGTGTGTGTGGATTTGTTTAGTTTGCTTATGCTTATTTGTTATAAGGGAAGCTTAAAAAAATTCGGGGCGGGAGCATTCAATTTGGTTTGTGGGGAGATGGGGGCAAGCAAGAAGGATGCAAAAAAAAGAATCGAGGCTCAGTGAAGCATTTTTGAAATGTACAGAAGAGAAACAGAATGACGTTCAGAGGGATATGGAAGAATAGATTTGAAACTAACCTGATGAATTTGTTATATATACTTTTTTTAAAGGAAGCTGTAGACAATAAGCATTTGTGGTTTCATATATAGTTCTCTTCCTGTTCTCTTTATATTTAAAAGTTCATGTCTGTTTGTATTTGTCAGGTTCAGAATAATAAAAAGTAAAAATTATAATGTTTTAATGGGAATTCCTTTCAGTTAAGCATTCGATTAGATGGTTGCTGAGGACTCTTCCAATTCTGAATTCTGTTATTCTGTGACTGAGTCAGGTACTGAACTTCTTTAGAAAGGAAGGAGAATAGGAGAAGTAGGGGGAGGGAAGAGGGCTAGAAAATTGCTCTCTGATAAATATGTTTGGAGTCCAAGTGGAAGGAGAAGTTATTGAGTGATGTTGGAAGGGGAGGATCTGGAAGTAGCGGTGAGGAACAAGGAATAGGTCTGGTTTTGTTTTTCTCCAATAAATATGTGCAAAGCTATTTGAATATTCTTCTAGTAACTAGTGTGGTAAATCTGTTTCCATAATTACATATGGCATCCCCAAACCAATAAATAATATTTTTGTATTATCTTTCAGTTTATATTATTTTTGGCAAAGCTCCCTTTACCATTCACTTGAATAGTTGAGTTGAATTTGTAGTATAAATCACTTTTGAATGTGAATGAAAGGATATAGATGAAGATATTTGAGTAGGATATAGATGAAGGGTCCTTGGGAGCCAACATCATAATCACCTAATCACTTCTCTGTCTTTTTCCCATAGTCTGGGCTTGTGTATACAGAGGAGGAATGGCAGAAGGAATGGAATGAGCTCATCAAACTTGCTTCAAGTGAACCCCGAATGCATATAGGAACCAACGGAGCCAGCTGTGGAGGGTATGTGTGTGGGGGAGGGAGTAAGAAATAGTAAATTCTCCATTTGTATTTGAGTGCTTCCTGTCTGCAGAGTTTTCTGCTAGAGGGAGCAGGAGCCCTGGACCTTGTCATAGGAATGTTCCATCCAGTGAAAACTGGACACAGTTCACTTAAAATAATTGACAAACAAAAAGAACGGTTTTTTTTTACACATACAAGTAATGGAAGCTGATTACATGAATGCAGAAGGAGTTGTAAAGTTAAGGTGAGTTTAATCTAGATTAGCTTCCTGAAAGAGGTCACTTTTGATCAATGAGGAAGAGACATGAAGAAGATATGGGGGGTAGGGATGGGGGAGAATAAAGTATCCCGTGGGATCAGTTTGTACTATTTCTTTAACATTTGGATATTTTTGGTGCCACAGATCAAACCTGTGCTGACCCATGAACTTAAGTTAACCACCATCTGTAGCATCTTTTTTTTTTTTTTTTTTTTTTTGGCAGATGTGGCTTGAGCTGGTACTAGGTCCTTCCTTTAAATGTTAAGCTCAAGGAAGAAAGAGGCTGGAGGAAGAGTTGGTAGAAATAATGTTTCCATTTTTGTGTTGGGCCAGTGATTGTAGTAGGAGTGGGAAGAGGGGAAGAAATTGGAGAAATTGCTAAACTAGTTGAATGTGAAGAGATGGTGATTACCTCTCTGTTGCTGATACCTCCGAAAGACTTAGAACCATTACTCTCCAGCCTCTTTCCACTCCCTCAGTAAACACTTTTTTAATGCCTATGGTATGTATTGCTGTGGGACGAATACAAATATAAGCAGTATCACAGGTTCTGGAACTTTTCTCCCAACCTTTATTCACACTGGCTCCTAAGACTGTGGCTGCTCCATCTTCCTTAAGGTTTCTAAGACTAACCTTGAGGGATTAAGTGCTATAACTTATGAATCCCCACTGGTGTGCTTTCCCTCATGATTATCAGTTGGCATCAGTCAGCCAGATGTAACAAGTTCTTAAAACGTGTTTACTGCAGTAGTATAGTTGGTATATAACATCCCAGCAAAAGTCTGTGATAACACTATTTTGCCAGTTCATACATAATCTGTGGGAGTTGAGCTTAAAGAGCATATGTGGCAAAAAGGGTGACAGCTCCCACCTGAGATCCTCAGGATGTCCCCCTTAGGGGTGGTGGTGGGCTTTTTTTTTTTTTTTTTAAGTGAGGCTGTCAGCGTTAAGTGACTTGCCCAGAGTCACACAGCTAGTAAGTATCAAGTGTCTGATCTGAGGCCAGATTTGAACTAAGGTACTCCTGACTCCAGGCCCGGAGCTCTATCCACTGCGCCACCTAGCTGCCTTGGACTCTTTGTTAAGCTTTGAGTCTACCTTTTCTCATTGGCATAGTCTGTCCTTGGTTCCTGATAGAGACACTTGTGACTGCTGTCAGAGGGATGCTGCTGGGGTGCTTGTGAAAAAGCCCTGTCCTCTGGCCCTTCAGAGTTGATGAGGCTTCTGCAACCAAGGCAGGGAGGAGACTGATCATATTTCTCTTAGATCATAAGGTATCTTTTACAAGTCCTTGATTGTATTTAATAGACTGCTATACTCACTGCCCAGCTCTCCATTGCCCTTCCAGCCCCCAGCAGTTTTGACTTTTTGGAGATAAGGGTATTTCATGATTCATAGCCATATAGCACTACCAATTGAATAAGCAGAGAGACTGGACCAGTGACTTCATTAGTTTAGGAAACTCCAGGATGAGGAAACTCCCTTTACCCAATTCACAATTGGCACCTTCTCTGAAAAAGAGTCTCAGAGAGTTGCCTGGAGCATTTTGAGGTTGAGTAACTCACCATAGGTCACCCAGAGAGTGCATGTCAGAGATGGGACTTGGTCCTCAATCTTCCTTGTTCCAAGGCCATCTCTTCACTAGACCACCCCATTTTCCCCCTACGTAGATCTAAATGGATGTTGTTGTCGTCGTCTTCGTTTCAATCACGTCTGATTCTCCCTTCCTCCATTTGGAGTTTTCTTGGCAAAGATACTGGAGTGGTTCTCCATTTCCTTCTCCAGCTTATTTTACAATGAGGAAACTAAGGCAAACAGAGTTAAGTGACTTGCCCAGGGTCACACAAGCTACTAAGTGGCTGAGGTCACATTTGAATTCAGGTCTTCCTGACTCTGGCCCAGCACTCTATCCACTGTGCCACCTAGCTTCATTATCCATTATCTAAATGGATAATGGTATGAAAAAGATTTTTGTTTCAGGGACCAGCTGTGTAGTTTCCAAAACTCCATCCAGTTTTCTTCCTTCTTTTAGATTCTTGGCGCAGTGTCTAGCCAAGATGTATATACTGAGGGACCTACTTGATAGGCTTTGCATTCAGCTGTATTGCATAGTCTGCAAATTGTTAAACTGTGTGGATTATCTTGAGTGGTTGTGGATTTCATTTAGAAGACTCTGTACTATTCCAGGACTTGAAGCAGTAACCACTGTGTCACTATTTATGTCTCCTGATCTTGTCAGCTGCTGCAATTAGCATAACTACTTTATTCAACTACCAGTATTCCACTGTTAATCACCAGGTTCCATCTGCCTTCATCACTGGTAGCACAAGGTTATTCAAAGGGAAATCTGTATGATAGAACATGCCAACCTTCTTCATCTCTATTACTGGTGAGATGTCTTTTGCCTGCCCTCCAGTATTGCTCAGGATTAACTCCATGAGATGTTTCAAGTAATTCCAGGTGATGTTTCATGCTATTCTAGGGTATTCCCGTTAGCCCTGCCCACAGTAACTGGCATAGAAGCTGCTGAAAGCTCCCAGATAGTTAACTGATCCCCCAGAACTCTTAATATCCATACCCACAAAATACACCTTCACTCCTCCTCCTGTCAGCTACCACAACTACGACCTAAACAGGGAGTCTAATATCCATATCCACCCGAGTAAGGATATTCTTTCCCTCATGTTTTGTTCCTCAAAATCTCCAATAGAAATTGGACTATCCTTATGAAGCTGACATAAAGTAACCTGATTACTAATATCTAACAACCTCCTTAGGTGTTTGGGCAGCTTCCTCATATTAGGCCAGTGCTTAGGACAGTATCTGACACACAGCGGGCACTTAATAAATGCTAATTGACAGACTGAGCAAAGACTTAAAGAGGCTTTACTTCCTGAGGATGTTGAGGTCTACCATTATATTAGTGATGTAATGACAAGTGAGCCAGATGAGGCTATGGCAGCAGAAGCCTTAGAGTGAATGATGGCTCATATCAGAGCCAAAGTAGCGTGGGAAATCAGTGTAAGAAAATTCAGGGTCCAGCCTATTCAATTATAGTTTTTAGGGAGAAACCTGATGATTCTAGATATATAGTTCATAAGAAGCAATTGATACTTGCTTCCCCACAAATTAAGAAGGAAACTTAAAGACTTATTGAACTCTTTGAGTTTTGGAGAATCTATATTCTGCATCTGGGTATTTGTATTTTATGACTCCTATTTGTTGAATTATTTATATTTGTACCTTTGAAGGATCAGTATGGTATGATCCTATGTGGATCTTGACCTGTCTTCGATTAGCAAACTGTGATAAGACAGACGTGGGTTGTTTCATTTTGTTTGGTTTTGGTCATGGAACCCTTTGACAGTGGTAAATCCCTTCTCAGAATAATGTTTTAAAATGCATAAAATAGAACATGTAAGATTACTGTGGAAACCTATTTTATTGAAATGCAGTTATCAGGATATTTTTAGAAATTTCTTTAAAGAAATTATTTAAATGAGACAACATACAAAACTTGTGAGATGCAGTTAAAATACTTGTAAGGGGAAAATTGATGTATATCTAGGTTTTCATCAGGAAAAGAGAAAAAGAACAAACCATTGGGCATGTAATTTTAAAAACTTTAAAAACAATAAATAAAAAATCCCTAAGTAATGATAATGTCAAATATTAAAGAAGAGATTAATAAAATTGAAAGCAAAAAGATCATGAAATCGATAAAACTTTGGAGCTGTCTTTTATTTTGATTGGGGGGGGTTTGGGTGGGGAATGAACTACATAAACAATTAGCTAACCTGATTTTTTTTTTTTTTTTAAAGAAAGAGGAAAGCCAAATTATTTGGATCAAAAATGAAAAAAGAGTAAGAACAATTGGAGAGGAAATTAAGGACATTATCAAAAGCTATTTCTTGCAATTACATGCTTACAAAGCTGACAACTTAGAGAAAATACATGAATACTTACAAAATTATGACATCCAGATTAATAAAAGAAGAAACACTCTTTAAATAACCTAATATCAGAAAAAGAAATTTAATAAACCCTAAATATACTCCCAGAGAGGAAAAAATTTTCCAGGATCATATGGATTTACACATGATGTCTATTAAGCATTCAAAGAACAATTAATTACAATACTACATAAACTATTTGCAAAAATAAGAAAAGAAAGTACTTTTGCAGTATCTTTATGTGATACAAATATGATTTTGATACCTAAACCAAGGAGAGACAAAGCAGAGGAAGCAAACTACTAGTGAATGTTGACAATTTTTAAAGTAACATTTTTACGAATAAGCTACAGCAGCATGTTATAAAGATTATACATTATGATCAAGTTAGATTTATACCAAGAATGTAGGGTTTATTCAACGTAAGGAGATTAAATATCATGTTAATAATACATATATAATAAAAACCATATGATTATATCAGCAGATGCTGAAAAGGCTTTTTGACAAATTTCAACAACCTCTTAATAGGTATAGAAATCATAGAAATAAATGAACTCTCCTTCATAGGGTAAATAATATCTACCTAATTCCAAAAGCAAACATTATATTTAATGGTGAAAAATTAGAGGCCTTTCTAGTAAGATCAGGGATAAAGCAAAGGTGCCTGTTAATTACCACTATATTTAACATAATTCTAGAAATGCTAATGTTAGCATGCAATAAGCCAAGAAAAAGAAATTGAGAGAATAAGCATAGACAAAGAGGAAACGAATGATACGATTTTCTTAGAATTTACTTAGAAACTTACCCTAGAAGGGACAGGTAGGTGGTGCAGTGGATAGAGCACCAGCCCTGAAGTCAGGAGAGCCTAAGTTCAAATCCGGCCTCAGGCACATAGCATTTACTAGCTGTGTGACCCTGGGCAAGTCACTTAACCCCATTGCCTAGCCAAAAAAAAACCCAAAAAAACAGAAAAAAAACAAGAAACTTACCCTAGAAAATCAACAAAAGCTAATTAAAGTAATAACTTCAACAAAGTTGTGGGATATGAATAAGTCTACATAACTCATCAGCATTCCTTTATATATATATCAATAGAATCTAGTGGGAAAAGCTAAAAAGAGAAATTCCACTCAAAATAACCCATAGAAGCTATAAAATTTGGGTGAGTGTACCTACCAAGATTCACCTGGGAAATATCTGAATCCAACTACAAAACACATTTTCCATAAACTAAATCATACCTAAGTAATTGGAGAAATGTTAATTATGTGTGGGTAGGTTGAACCAATATAATAAGAATGACAGTACTACCCATATCATTTTACTTATCCAGGGTCATACTAATCAAACTGTGAGAAATATTTTGTAAAACTAGAAAAAAATAGTAATGAAATTCACATGGAGGAACAAAGGTTAAGAAAATCTTAAGGGTAACTAATGGGGAAAAAAAAGTAGGAAGGGGAAAAGTGTGAGTCTGTCAATACCAGATCTTAAACTGTGCTAAAAAGCAGTGATCATTAAAATGAGTTGGTACTAGTTAAAAGAGAGAGAGCCAGAGAGGAAGAGAAAGGGGAGAGCACAGGAGAGATATCAGTGGAAGAAATTAGGTACCCATTATATAGAAGCAAACACACAGAGTAATGTCTGATAAACTCAAAGACTGGAGTTACTTTGGTAAGTAATCACAATTGAACAAAAACAGCTGGGAAATTGGAAAGCACTCTGGCAGAAAGTAAGTTTAGAACAATGTGTCACACTATCCAACAAGGTAAACTCCAAATGGACACTCATTTTACTGCAAAGAAGGTTTAGGATTGAGCCCATTGTTGCCATACTTGTGGGTTTCCATCTTGCCTAGGCAGCTGGCATTGGGGAAAGGTCAGATGGATCTTCAGTGCAATAATATCATCATCACATCACTGATATCACAGTTTGTTGATTTTCCAAAGACTGTCTTGATAAATCAGTGCTAAGAAGGGGCAGGGTTCTTCGCTCAAATAGTTTCTTGGGATCTACGCTATGGAAGGACTTGCCTGACTAGGATGGGGTTTCTTTTTTTATATATTTCCAGTTGATCTTCTGTAGCTTTTCCTTATGACTGCTAAGTGGTGCTTTGGATGTAGAGCACTGGGCCCAGAGTTGGGAAGACCTGAGTTCAAATATGACTCAGACACTGGCTAGCTGTGTGACCTAGGGCAAGTCACTTAAACTCTGCCTCAGTTTTCTTATCTGTAAAATAGGGATAATAATAAAAATAACCTCCCGGGGTTCAAATGAGGATCAATTAAGATAATAAAAATGCTGGCATGTGGGAAGGGTTGTATCAATGTTAACTATTATTATTATTATTATTATCTTTATCATCACCATTATTAATAATAATGCCATCTGTGTGTGATTGCTTAGGCCTAGAGGTTTTTGCCTCATGGAAAGGTCTGTGCATCCTGGAGAAATGGTTCAGGTCCTCTTTAGTTTGCAAGTTTCCCTTCCTTTGGGATGGTTTGTATAGTTTTTTCCCGGAAAGTGTTTGGAGGGGGCCTGTTGGAAGGGGATTTTGCTTTGGGGTGGTTTGGGGGAAATAAAATTAGCTTCTTATAATTGTGGTGACTAGGAATTTATGTAGAAAAAAGGGGATTTTTGGGGGCCATTTTAGTAGTGATTTTAAGTCCCTGGATAAAAGTGAATGCGAGTCTTTAACCAACCCCCATGAAAGAATATGATAGACCCTCAGGTGTTTTTAAAGAAGACGTAACTTGATATTGTTCCCCCTAATGGGGCTCCTAAAGGGGAGGTTTTGGCTGGCAGGCCTCAAAACACTGAATAGGTTTCCTATGTAGAGTGAGTCCTCGTATCAGCTTGGGCCTCAGCACATGGTTGGTTGCCTTCAAGAACCTGTGACATCTTAACTATTTTAATTCGAATGGTCCAGACTTGTGATGGGTACTAGTGACAACAATCAGATGTCATTCACTTCATATTCCTTAGTGTCACTCCTGCGCATCATGATTATTTGATCCAGAAAATTATTATGAACTGTTCTTGATATACTTTTTTCTCCAGCCTGACCATTCTTTTATAGAGAGGGGTAGGGAAAGCTTCCAGAAGTGATGTGGCTCTAGTCACACAGCTAGTTAGTTACAGAGCCAGGAGTAGAAAAAAGGTCTAGTAGACACTGGTCTAGTAGACACTGGTCCAGAGCTGTGCCATTGCACCCCAGTGTTTTCCCTTCATCTCTTGACAAGAGTACTCAGTCTTCATAGGCTTACTTTTCTGCTCCTTTGACTTCAGGGTGGAGAGTTCAGAAGAACCTGTCTATGAGAGCCTGGAAGAGTTCCATGTCTTTGTTCTTGCACACGTGCTTAAGAGACCAATTGTTGTCGTGGCAGACACCATGCTTAGGGACTCAGGAGGAGAAGGTGGGTCACTGAATCACATGTCCTCATCTGAACTCTGTGTAGAAATAGGTACTAAGCCTTTGAGAGGGCGGGGGAGGTGGGGAGAATATACAAGCATAACACACACTGGGGAAATAAAATACAAATGCTGAGAAGATGTAACAGACTGATTGGAGTTAATCAGCAAAGACTTTCTGGAAGAGGAGAGTGTTAACTAGTCTTTGTTGGGGATATACAAGTGGCAGAAGGTAGGAAGATCTCTCCTAGGCAAGGGAATTGATCAGCTTAATGATTTTGTCCTTTGTGTTTCTTCTGCAGCATTTGCTCCAATCCCCTTTGGGGGGATCTATCTGCCCTTGGAAGTCCCTGCCAGCCGGTGTCACCGATCACCCCTGGTATTGGCCTATGACCAGGCTCATTTCTCTGCACTGGTGTCTATGGAGCAGAAAGAGAACTCCAAGGAGCAAGGTGATGATGATGGTGTCTTTGTCTCTGGTTTCTGTCCATCTTCCTTCTTTGACGATGCCTTGTTTCCTCATGGGGGAATTGAAACAAGAGGTTAAGGAAAAGCTTGTGCTAAAACAGTTCTTGGCAGTAGAAGGGAATATTAGATCAAGCCTTAAAAGTCACAAGGACGTTGGTGTGTCCAGTATGTCATTGCATTTGGATTTCTCACTCTGTCATGGAACAGGACCCTGTTCAGCGGGGTAACTGGGTTATAGGACTTTCTTTTGCTTACGTTTATGTTCAGATGAGTTTGGTCTCTCAGCACAGACTGCCTGACAGTCTGATCCAGAGGCAGTAAGTGATCCCCATTAATTGTTCGCTGAGAGTGGACTGAAGGCTCTCTTGAGGCTGTGTAGCAGGAAGAAGTTAACTCCACAAAATAGATAATTGAGTAGAGAATAGTCTGGTAGATATGGTAATTATTCCCTTTTCCTTTCAGTGCAGGCTGATCTGTGTCTGGTTACTCAGAGGCTTCTTAATGACCTGTTTCTTTACTTCCTACTCCTCTCCCCTTCCCTAGCAGTGATCCCACTCACAGACTCCGAACACAAGCTGTTACCCTTACACTTTGCAGTGGACCCTGGAAAGAGCTGGGAGTGGGGCAAGGATGAGAGTGACAACGTCAGGCTGGCCAGGTCAGGCAAATGGATTCTCTGTTTAAGATCTTCACAAATATATTTGCATACTTCTTAGCACCTCCACAACAAGTCTTCCAATCTCAAAATGGATCTATGATAGCACCTGCAATATCCCATATCTGAGGAGGGCTGGCCATAGGCTAATACTAGAATTGTGGTGTTGCATAGCTGCTTTTACAGTTTCTTTGGGGGGGGGGGTTGGTGGCACAAAAACAGAGATTTTTGTTTCCTCCTTTCAGTGGAATAGAGATGATAGTTCCGTCCTTAATATTATAGACATTACAAAAATTAAAAAAAATAAAAATAAAACAAAACAAGACCTGAGAGGTCAGGCAGGGCTATCAAATTATTGTTTCTTATGGCTGGATTTGTCTGCCCTGACAAAGATGTAAATGAGGGTGGATTTAAAATACCCAAAATTGTCCACTGTAGGTTTGTGGCCTTGTAAAATTGGAATATCAGGAGAAGCAAACTCCCAGATCTCAGATGTCTAGTTTTTCTAGCCTTCTACCTCCGAATTTGGAAAATATATGAATAAAATAGAGCAAGAATAAAATGATTTTTCTAGGCCCTCCAAACCCTCCCCAACCCTGAATCTGGGAAACCTGGAGAATAAATACATTTAGAACAATACTCAAATCTTTCCCTATTCCCTTTCTTAATATCCCCAATATCTGAGTAATGACCTAGTTTACCTGACCTAGTACAATTCCTATACTTGACTTTCACTCTTTATTATTTTTCTCAGATTTTTATTTTTTTATTGTTATGAACTTGGCAAACACTGACAGACTGTAGTCTCATTTACCCCCTTTGAAGCCTTTGGGTTTTGATTCCTTCTTTTCCTTCCTGCAGTGTGACCCTGTCCCTGGAGGCAAAATTACACCTGCTACATAGCTACATGAATGTGAAATGGATCTCTTTACCTTCTGATGCCCAGGTGAACTTCTCTGCCTTCACAGTCATGGCTCATCTTTCACTAGTGGGGGGACCCATTGTTGTGGGGGAAACCTAGGCTAGGTGGGAGAAAGGAGCTTAGCTCTGGATGGAATACATAAGGCACGTTAGGCAGAGTGGGAGGGAAGGAGACATTTGTAAACTCAACCCTACACAGACAAGCTGGGTGTTGCTTAGAATCCCACAGGAATATCTAGGCTCTATTCTAGCTTGAGACTGAACCACCACAGGAAGTCCAGGTGTGGTGGTTGGGATGAAAGTTAAAAACCAGGAACAACTCCTTACTTGTCACAGCAGTTATATTCCTCAGTGATTAGTGAAAGAGAATAAACCAACCCCTCCACCACCATTCCAGAGAGTTGCTGAAGAAATTGGGGGTGGGAATGGGAAGGAGGTAAGTGGAAATGTGGGGTAATCTTCAATGATGCTTTTGTCTTTCCTAGGCTCCCTTGGCCCAACCTGAGTCCCCCACAGCCTCAGCTGGGGATGAACCCCGATCTACCCCAGAATCAGGGGAATCTGACAAGGAATCAGTTGGCAGCAACTCTACCAGCAATGGGGGAAGTGGGCGAAAAGAGAAGCCAAAGCGAGATCGGGAGAAGGATAAGAAGAGAGCAGATTCAGTTGCCAACAAGTTGGGCAGCTTTGGCAAGACTTTGGGCAGTAAACTCAAGAAGAACATGGGGGGCCTAATGCATGGCAAGGGTGCCAAACCTGTTGGGATTGGGGTGGGGTCTGGGGTGCCACCTAGTAGCAGTGAGATACTGGACAAGAAAAAGAAAGGCTCAGTCAAGGGCTGGAAGGGCAGCAAGGAGGATGCATCTGGGGATATCGGTGGGCCTGAAAAGCCTGCACCTGAGTCTCCAGGTGATGGAGGGAGCAAGTATAGCCAGGAGGTGAGACTGAGCTTGAGCATTATGAGAATTGCCATGCAGGGGGAACGTAAGTTTATTTTTGCTGGAAACCTGAAGATGAGTCACCGACACCAGTACCAGGAGGAGATGATCCAGCGGTACCTGGCAGATGCTGAGGAGAGATTCCAGGCTGAGCAGAAACAGAAAGAGGCAGAAAGGAAAATGAATGGAGGGGGTGGAAGTGGGCCCCCCCCAGCAAAGAAACCAGAGCCAGATGGGGGAGAAGAGCTTCTGAGCCCTTCCCCACCAGAGCCCAAGGCTGCATTCTCTACCAGCCACGCTGGGGGCTTCACCATCCCCAGGCCAGCTGGGAGTGGTCCCCACTGCCAGGACCTTGGGAGGCAGGTGGCAGGGGGTCCCTGTGGAGGGGAACTCCCCTCTTATGCTACTTTCCCTAGACAGTGCTCCTCAGGGCGGCCCTACCCCCATCAGGACCCAGTTCCTTTGGAGAGAGACACTCATTCTGTGGATGGAAACCCAGGGGGATCATTGTTACCCTCCCCCTTTCGTGTAGCAGACAGCTACAGTAATGGCTACAGGGAACCCCCAGAGCCAGATGGTGCTGGTGGATGGGGTGGAGGGACAGTGGAAGACTTGGGGCTTCCCCTGACCCAGACCAAGTGCAAACAACCGAACTGCAGCTTCTATGGACACCCTGAGACCAGCAACTTTTGCTCCTGCTGCTACCGGGAGGAACTGAGGAGGAGGGAGCAGGAAAGGGGTGGGGAGCTGTTGGTACACAGATTCTGAATGGGGGTGGAAGCTGGGAGGGTAAGGGGGCAAAACAAAGACAGGTAAGCGCTACTGATTGGCTCATCGTGACCCAGCCCGTTGTGGGTAGGGCTAATGCAATAACTTCTGTGGGACCCAACCCAGGCTTCAGGGTGTTGAGGGGATGGGTAGCCCAGGCTGCTAGGAGCTGGCCAGGGCTGGGTAGGGGGACTGAGGAAAGTACCTCACAAACAGTAGTATGCCCCATGGAACTGGGTGTGTCAGAGTAGGAGAAGCAAATGGGGACAATGTTGTGGTCCCACCCAGTAACCCATCTTTCCCCATCTTGGGGTGTTAAGGGACAGTTAGCTATTGAGACACCATGAGGCTAGTAGAGAAATAGGCTTGAGGTTGGTGGAATAAAAGACCAAAGTTCTTTGTAGGTTGGAAAAGCATGTGACAAAAGGAAGGTTAAAATAAACTTTCTACTGGTTTGGATTCAGGTAGAGAGTGGGGTAGGGATTCTCCCTGGAAGAAGCTAGCAGGACTGGGCCAGTGATTGGTTGGGGGTGGGGAAAGAAGGCAGTATTTAGTTTAAATCACAAGGTTTATTATTTCCTAGGTGGAAGGAAATAATTTTCCTGTGGTCCTGTTTCCTCCTTAAAAAGAACAAATTTAAGAAGTCTGTGTCATTTATTCCAGTTTTGAAGGGAGGATTGTTGCTTGTTCTTCCCTACCCTTTTCTGGGTCACAGTTCAAGCTGGGTTGAGGTAGCTGCCAGTTGATGAGGTTATGATTTTATTTTTTATTTTAATTATCTTAGTTTTAAAGCATTTTGTGGAGGGATAGAGGCAGAAGAGCAACTTCTATGTGTTTGGGGTTTTTTCTGGATGGATTTTGCAGAGATAGGTTGTAGAGATCATGATTTTTGGCCATATCGGTAACTAAACATGGGAGTTTGGGTGGGATATGGGCTTGGCTTGGTGGGTGAGAGATAACTGGCAAGACTGTTAAACAAAAACAAACCCTAAAAAAACCTAAACCTACTATTCCCATCCTATTAGGAGCACTGCTTTAAAGTAGAATGAAAAATTATTTTATGAACTAATTTGTTTGAAAAAGAAGAAAAACACACAAAAAGATTTCTTTTTCTACTTGTGTGACATTTCTCCTTCCTCTTCACTTCTGGGGAGTGAACTTAATTAACATCTAGGCTTCTTTTGTTGAGCCATAGCTGACCGTAGATTTGTGGGTCGTTTATTTTAAAATGAAATTAATAAAAAGTAATTTACAAGAAGATATTTTTTATATTAGGACTGGAGACTTTTAGAGGTGGAGGTAATTTATACAAGTGGGGAATTAGTGAAACATGACATTTTGGAGTTACAACCACAGACTTTACTCCCAGTGAACTGATTAATCCTTAGATTAATCCCTTTTTCTGGCCACCTAGCTCCCTTTGCTTGGGAATGGGGAGGGGGGCCCTTTGCAGTTTGCACAAAGCACAAGCCAGGACAGAGGTGGTTCTGGCCCTGACCACTTCTAAAAGCTTTAAACAGAGGACCTTTCTTGGTCCCATCTTCACTTTCTCTCTTTGACTTTTCTTAAAGGTGTCAACTATGCAATTGCATCCATTCCTGGATTTGTTCAGAGAAGGAGAATAATTATACCTAGCATCTGGAGTGCTGGTTGAAACTAATATTTCTCTACTTGGAGTTTCCTGAGATGCTTTCTCACCATACCTGCTCCAAAATGTACTCCTCCCTGTTTTTAATTCAAGTTTTCCCCCTAATACCTAGGGGACAAAGATAAGGGCTTTCTGCTGGCAGATGCAGCTGGGGAATTTTCATTAAGAAGAGGGGCTCTTTGCTCCACTGTCCAGTGAGGGTGGTTGGGGAGAGGGGGTATGAAATTTCTACTACTTGTCAGAGTTGCATATAACTAGATGAAGTTTACCTTTTTTCCTTCCATTTCTCAGCCACAAAGCCCCTTCTTGTCAGAGTCCGACTTTGCTGTTTTCTGTAACCTTACTGCCTCTGGCTCTTCTGTCTTGGACTCTCTTGAAAAAATGGTTATTTGATTTTAAATAAGCAAAAGTATCCAAAGACAAATGGGGGTGTCTCGGGCACTGGTGGAGAAACTGACCTAGGAATTTCTATGCTTCCTCCACCCCACCCCAATATTTTTTTTAATAATTCCTCTGTCATCTTCCTGAAAGCTTATAGTGTGGGTTTGACCTAGAGAGATGGAGGCAGCTCCAAGAGAAAAAAGCCAAGGAAGTTTCAAGCATCTTCCTCCTCAAAAAAAAAAAAAATACTCTATTGTTCTTTTGAGTTTGAACTCTAGTTAGGTTCTAGTTTGACACCTTTTTGTTTTTAAATTTGAGAGAATAGAAATGAAATTATTACAAAATCCTCCATGCCATGTGTTGTTTTTTTCAATAAAGATGTAATTTTAACTCCACTCCCTTTCCCCACCCCCTCAAAAAAAAAAAAGTTCTCAGTTTCCTCACTGAGGATGGGTTGGGATGTACGTTGGGTCTCCTTCAAGCCCTGTGGATTTTTCTTAAAAATTAAATTATTTTTTTAAATGGAAGAAGGTAATTATTTATTGAGGCATTGAGACCCCACCCCCTTCTCAATGTGAGGAGGGGTCCTGAGATTAATAGCTATTTTTCTATAGGGGAAGATGGGTGAAAGATTTTTTTATGAGGGAGGAGGGAGGAGGGGCGATCATGATATCCATGAGATCATGACAGTGAGTAAGTTTTGTTCTATAGCAGCAAGGCTTTTAGAAGGTGGGGGAGAAGGGGGAAAGTATCATTAGTATTTTAGGCATGGAGGTGGATGCCCTGTCTAACAATCAATCTCTGGAACTCATTTGAGTTTGAGAGTGGTGTATATGTGGAAGGGAGGCAGAAATCCTTTAACCAAGACTAGGGATGCCCCCATCTCTCAGTCTTATAAGTGCACTTATACTCTCGCAGTACAGGGCTTCAGGGGTTCTGAGGACAAGGAGCTTTTCAAGGTTCCGGTATTTTCCTTTCCCTTTGCCTCAAGACTTTTGCTGTTGGTCCTCCATCCCACCCTCTCATTTCTTTGACCTTAGCCATGTGATTCTAGGATGTTGTGTAGGTACAGTCCTAGAATTCCTCCAGTATCTTCTTTTTAAAATCCCATCGTTGCCCTGCTGATTGTGCTTAAGAGTTGTATGAGAGTTAATCCAGATTTTTCCCTCTTTTAATTGGTTTAGCTTTTAATTGACAAAAATCTGTAAAAGGGTTTAAAAATTCATATTTGGGGGGGATGGGGTTTGGGGGAGAGGTCAAATCTCTCCTAGTTAAACTTACTGCTGTAAAAGAGCCAGAGGTGAAAGGGGTGGGGTTGGGGGGACAGGTGCTACCTTCTCTCCCCCTTACTGATTCCTTCTCATTTATGCAAAACCCTAGAGCTCACAGACAAAAATAAAAAAATTTTTTAAAAGCAAACGGCTTCGGAGCATGTGTTCAGAAAATGAGATGTCACTGTGCAGATGGTACCAATAAGCTCTTCGATCTCCAAACAGCTTACTTAAAACCGTAGAAATTGTCTTAAGTTGATCTATAACCTCTGCAGTTAGCCAAGCCTCGAATTTGAGGGTGAGGAAGAGGCATCCCTCCCCCTACACACGTAGACCCATGGTGGGTGTGCTTGACCAAGAGGCGTGGATAAGGTTAACCCTGCCCGAAGTAAGGAATGCGTTGGATTGTAGTAGCTCTAGGTAGCGTTTGGCGGTGGGAGAGGGTGGGAGAGGAATAGGAAGGGGTCCGTTTTCTCTTTGATTAGCTCATTCTTCCTCAGAAGAGAAGGGAGCTGGAGTTCGAACCAGGTAGAAGAGTGGGAAGCTTAATGCCGCTATTTGACATTAGGGGATGCCACCCCAGCACACACACAGCTGAGTCACGACCTTCATTGGGCAGCTCGTTTCTTTTTCCTCATGACACTTTCTTCGTGTTATTTCTTCCTGCCTTTCCCTGCAGTCAAGTGCACAGCAGCTTCAGAATGAGTCATCCAGGCCCCAGCAATTTCTCCCACTTTTCAGATGGAGAAAGGACAATCACTTAAAGCCCGAGGTCGTGACTTTGGTTCAGATAATTCTGTGCTGCAATCTCCCCAGTTTAGTGTCCTTTTTCTCTCTTTCCATTCCTACTTTTCAACGCACAGAGGGAGGAAAGGGGGGGTGGTGTCCAAAAGGAGAATAGAATGGGGAATACTATAGCTGGGCAAGAGTGGTAGAGTGGGGGTGGGCGGGTCTGTGGCCTTGTTTCTGTGCTTATATCTGGGTCTGTGATTCATCAGATGACTCACTGAGCTCCACCCCCTTCACCCTCCTCCCCTCCTCCCCTTCTCTGCTCAGATGTGGCCTGAGAAGGACCAGGGAAAGTGGTAGTAGGTGGGGACTGGGGGGGCTGGGGGAGAGTAGCATGTCCTTAGGGTTCCAACAGCCAGACTTGTCTTGTGAGGAGGTAAAAATCGCCGGACTCAGCGCTGCTGTTCACTATTCCCTGCCTTGTTTTCTTTCCATTTCTGGCCAGAAGTTAACCTTACTATTTTACCTTCCTTTACCCCGCTTTACCATGAACGCGTGGGTCTTCCTAATCCTGTCTGTTTCCCTCTTTCTTTCCCTTGATTCGCTTCCCCCAAGTAAGTGTAGAGATACAGCAAGGGAAGAGCCTTGGGAGGATAGAGGGGTACTGATGAGTGTTTCAGGTGTGGGAGGCGAGAGATACACAAGGATTTGATACTTCTTTCTTCATGGATACCTTGGAGAAACTGACCCTCTCTCACTGCGACCTCACCCAGATTTGAGGTCTATAGTGCATGCCAGAATTTGTGAAGGTGTGGAGTCAATACCAGACTGACTACTTGTCTTAGGCTCCATAATAGCTTCAGGATTTCCACAATTGCAGCCAAGGCAGAAAACATTTAAGGTCGAAGCAAGAAAAGGGAGGGGTGGGAGGGGTAGGAAGGGTGAGGTGGCATGGAAAAACCCGGGGTTCCAGAGTCCCTGTTTCCCACCTTGGCTTAATTGTTTCTAGGGATACAAAATAAAATAGTCGCTCATTTAAATTTCATTTTGCATCTTATTTTCACGTTCATCTTGGATCTATGTGCCCATTTTTCTTCAGTGGCTTGCAGCCTCTCTAACTCTCCACCCCAGAGCCTGTCCCGAGGGACTGCTCCGAGTTGTGTGGAGAGGTTTCCTGGCCCCCAGCCAACACTGCCCAGAACATGAATCATTGATTGTAGGGGTATCCAATGTTCAGAGTGGGAGGTGTCTGAAGGCTGCTCTGGTTCCCAATTGGTTGCAGGCTACTGGTAAAGGAAAACCTAGGGGGAGAAACAGTCTGTCCCACACGTGAGTTTGTGTTTTATCTCCTTGGCTTAGTCCTTACCTCCACCTACATCTAATCACAGAGCTGAGGTATATCCCTTTTTCTCTCTGCCCTAACCTCCCTTGATAACCCATCCTTATGTCTCTGAATGTGATGGGAAATCCCCAGGGGCCCAACCTCTTTACTCCACCCATGGCAACCTTTTGTCAGATTTGAGGAAAGGAGGGATGCCTTATTGTTCTTCTTTCCATAAAAAGAGTGACTACTTCAGCACACGGGGAAACACACAGAGACACACAAAGTAATTGTGCCTCAAGGAGGAGCCCAGATTGAGTGAGACCTTTCCCCCTGACCCAAATTGTAAGAGTTCATATAATTCTGTTTCATTGTCTGGGTACCTGTTGGATACCTCTGGGTACCCTCAAGGACCCTCTGTGCTGATCAGTAGGAAGTGTGCTGGAGAACTCTTCACACAGACTCATGGGTACTCCTAAATTTACTTTCCCAGCCTACTCTCTTAAAACCCTTCTCCAAACTCTCCCCAGATTGGGTGTGTTCCCCTTTAAGGGGCAGGGCATCTCATTTCCACCCCTACCCCCCCCAATCTCCGGAGTAGTCTGAAGTTTCCAGAGGACCCTGAGTCGCCCCCCAACCAAGCCCTCTGTCCCTTAGCCCAGAAAAGAACTCTTGTGTAAAGCTTCTCTTTTTTTGCTTTGCCCCCTCCCCATCCCCAGTCCCCATCTCTTCCCTTCCCTAGGACCTAACCTTCTCCCAGTTGGGCCAAGACTTCCCTGAATCTCCCTGCATCACCTCTCTCCCCCTCCCCATCCCTCAGTTCCCCTGAATGGAGCCAGGGAGATGTGGTGGGGGGGGCCGGGGCCGGAGCTTCAACATTCCCCCACAGAAGGAGCCAAACATGGGGGTAAGAGAAAGGGGAACTTAGGGGAGGGTGGCAGGGAGGCTGGGGGGAGCTATCTGACTTCAAGATAAGTTCGGTCTAACTGTTGCTGGATTTCTCAATATCTCTGTGTTTCTTCTGAGTCTCAAGTTCACTCTTTCATTATTCATTAACCAGTTCTTCCCCTTATGCTGCCCCACCCCAGACCTGTCTTTCCTTATCATATCTAGACCTCAGTTTCCCTTGAATATTTGAATATTGGCTCGGAAAAGAACTGGCTGTCGTATCCGTCATCCCAGATCTTGTGCATGCCACCCCACAACGACTCCACAACAGGGGAGATGAGGGGGGTGGGGTAAGATCCGGAATGAACTACAAATGAACTTTTTTTTCAGCTCTTACGCCCAAAGTCCATGCAGGTGAGTGGGATGGAAGAGTCAAGGAGTCCACAGACTAGCGGTTGCCCAGCTCTTCGATGCCTCCCAGGTACTGAAGACCCTTCAATATTCCTGACTCTAGGTGATGCCCTCAAACTTCAATCATCCCTGCCCTTCCTCTCTTCAGGGTCTTCACCCCCACTGTGATGCCCCCCAGCACAGACCTTCCTCCCTTGTACACCATCCCCTTCTCTGTTCAGAGCTAACTGTAAGCTTGGATTTCAGGTTCTGTTACTCACCTAGAAGATGGTGGGCATGTATGAAGTGATGACCTTTCCACTGATGTCCTGTTTTTTTGTTTGTTTGTTTGTTTTCAAAGAGCTCAGAGTAGGGGGAGAAACTTATCCATCTCTCATCATCCTTTCTGTTTTTGTGGAGGGGAGAAGAGTGAGAAGGTTGTGTGTTTAGGGTGGATGGAAGGAGATTTGTTGAGAAGGGAATACTTTTCCCTTGCATGACTCATCTTCCCCCCTCTTCTCCTTCCTTATAAGGGGAACAGGTCTTGGCCTGGGCACCAGGAGTGAGAAGGGGGCTAGAACCTGAATTGCCTGGGACCCTGATATGTACCAACCAGAGAGTGTTGTTCCGCCCCCAAGGCTGGCAAGGGAGGCAGGTGAGGTGGGAAGAAAATTGAAAGAGACAGGTGGACTAAGGTAGGGAGGGGAGGCAAGAATGGTTAATAAAGCCTGTTTGGGAGAGGGCGGGGCAGGAAACTCTCTCACAGGCACCTCTTACTGGGGTAATTTTCAGGGAGTCTGTCTGGGAGGACCAGAGACTACCCTGCGTAGAGGAGTCTCTGGGGAAAACCATAGGATCATAGATTGAGAGTTAGAAGAGGAGTCAGAAGTCAGAAAAATGTGTTTTTACAGCTCCTCTGCTTTATTCTCTCTTAGGACTCTATACTGAGCAGTGACTATGATTTTGCTCTCAGCAATATTGGACGGTTAGAAGCTGGTAATTGAAAAGAGTGGACCTTTTGTAGAAGCTGGGTGAGAGGGTGCAGCTGGAGGTGTGGGAGAGCCCCTCTCTCCAGATGCCCAGGTTGTGAGAATGGATGGGCTGGGAGTTCCCCTGGGGTAGGGAGGGCCCCTGGTTTCTGGGTTATAATATTTTCTGACCCTTAACCCTTGACCTCAGTAAGTGGCCTAGGCAGGCCCCAGATCCTTCGTCCAGGGTCTCTGCTCAAGTTCATGCCTGATGAAATTCTAATTCATGGACGAGACTTCCGGCTTCTAAGAGTTGGCTTCGGAGAGGGGGGGCTGGAGCCCCTTGCCTTTAGGGTAAGACACCCCTATCCCCAGAAGCACCCATGTGACTCATTCCTTTCCTCTTACTCCCCCTGGAGATGTATTTCTTTTGCCAGGCAACTCTGTAAAATTTCCTTTGGGATAATAATAATTGTTTTTTATTATTATTATTATTATTATTATAGTTAGCATTTACACAGTGCTTTATGGTTTGCAAAGCCTTCTACATTTTATCCCATTTGATCCCTAATAGGAATCCCTTTTAACTATATGATAGACCTGCATTTGTTAACTTTTTTGTGTGTGTTAATAGAGCCTTTTGGCAGACTGGTAAAACCTGTGGACCCCTCTTCAGATATTGTTTTTAAAAATTCATAATTGAAGGAAATAAAGACTTGCAGTTAGAGGTTAATGAAAATGAAGATAAATTTTTTTCCCATCCAATTCATGAACTCTCTGAAATATCTGTGTGTGGGGGGGGGTCCGTGGACCCTAGTTTAAGAACTGCTGCTGTACACAATAGATCTCTCAGATCTGCCTTTCTAACCCTTCTTTCTATGACTTACCAGCTCACAGTTCTAGAGACTGTTCTTTTTATTCTGATAAGAAGTAGAGAGAAACATAAATCCTATTCCCTTCTATTCCCCTTTCTGATCTGAGCCAAAGGGGTGGGGTGGTCATTTCTTCCATAGGTGGCCATGGCGATAATCCAGGCTAGAGCACAGAACGGTCAAGCCCAACAGTATGATGGAATGACTCTGAGCAAAGCTTGTGAGTAGAAGATCTTTGGGAGGGAGGGGTGGAGAGTGATTTGGGATGGGACAGAGGAAAGGTAAGAAGTTGGGTGAAGCAGGAAGGTAGAGGCCTAGATGGTTGAAGTCTAGTCTGGCTGGAAACCAAGGGTGAGCTGACTGGTACTTCTCTTTCTCCCTTTCTCTAGGTTGTGGCCTGGGCCCCAGTGAGCCACCTGTTCCCCTCTTAGAGACCCCTGAGGACTGGGAGGCTGAACGGAAGAAGCATGGGGCCAGAGGCTGGAGGGTCAGCACAGTAAATGAGAGATTCGATGTGTCTACCAGGTGAATCCAACACTCTCACATCTCCATCTTCTAGTAGGCATGCTTAGCCAATCCTTCCAACCTAAGGCTAAACATTCAACCTGCCTCCTGGAGATACCTTCATGGTACCCCTTGACTCATCACTCCCTTAAACCTGACACCCCTCTAGGATTACCTTCCCCTCCCCAATTATAAACATCATAGCCATACTATGAGGTCATTGAGCCAAGCAGTGATATCACCTTCAACTCCACAGTCTCTCTCGATACTTCTGGGTCCCTAGACAGACACTGGACAGCGAAGTCAGAAAGGCATTTGGTCACTTCCATCAGGGTCGTGGACCGGTCAGTATGGGAATCAGGGTCAGGGTAGTGGGTTTGGGACCCCCTGGGACACGTGGGAAGAGGGGACAAGGAGTCTCTCTTCCTCATAATGACCTGTCTGAGGCCACTGTGCCACCCTGCTATTTACAGCGCCTATGCTGGCATCATCCTGGAGGCAGTGATCTTCTCCGCTCTGGTGGCTTTTATGAAGCCAGTGATCCTAATAGAGAGGATATCAGGTAAAGGAGAGGTTTGAGGGGAGAAATCAGGAGCTGGGAGTCAGGGGACAGCCAAGGTTCCTTATGCTTCTTCCTTCTTCACTCTCTTCTTTGCACCCACAGGGCAGTGGAGTTACTACTTCAGGCTGGGCATTCGGATATTGTCCTGGTAGATACTGTGGATGAGCTCCCCAGCCTTGCAGATATCCAGCTTGCCCACCTGAGGCTTCGGGCCCTCTGCCTGCCTGGTGAGGTTGACTTCTAACCTGTGACTACTAGACCTACTGATTCTGTTGCCCACTCTGGATAAGTGACCTTTGTCCCACTAATCTATTGATCTTTCATTCTAGTAAAAAGATGGGCTCCTTTCAGTAGGATCCTGAAGACCTACTTATTCTTTCTGACTCTCTCTGATCACTGATTCTGTTCTTCTTAACCCTTTGGACCTCATTTCCTGAACCTTGAATCCCAAATCCTCAACTTTCCTGACCCTCCCTATTCCTCTGACTCTTCTCAACCAGATGCAGCTGATGAAAAATGGCTTTCAGCTCTGGAGGGAACGAGATGGCTGGACCATGTCAGGTGATCATCCCCTTCCTATAGTCTGCTAACCTGCACATCTTGCTTCAGCCTTCCATTAACCTGGAGTCTTCCATGAGTTCCTCCAGACTTTACTACCTTCTTCTTCCTGGAAGTAGCTACATTTTAGTTTTGATGGGAGAAAAGGATGGCAAGATGCTAAAGTCAACCTCCTATCTTTACCATGATCGTCAGCAGATGACTTTTCTAACCCCTAGAGCTTGTTATTCACCCTTTACCACACCCTCTTCTTATCAGGTCCTGTCTCCGAAAGGCCAGTGACATTTCGGTGCTAGTGACCTCCAGGGTCCGATCTGTAGTCCTTCAAGGTAAATCCCCAGGTTATCCCAGCTCTTCCCCTGCCTCTGTGTCTCTGGGCCACAAGATTGGAGTCTTTCTAGGGAAGGTGACACAGAAGTCCATTTGCTCTCTCCCATGTCCAGTTCTCTTCTGTCCAACAAGTTAGAAGTTATTTTTGAGACCTCTTATCTCTTCTGCATCAGTCTCAGTTGGGCATGAGGAAGGACAGCAAGAAAGCAGGCAGAACAATTGAAATTCTTACTCTTCATTTCACCCTTTTCCATATCTCTCTTCCTTTTATCCTGATTTGTTTTTCTCCTATCTTCCTCCTCACCCCTTTCACTTGCATCTCTTCCTTTTCAATTTCATAATGCCCTTTCTTTCTGATCTTTCTAACCTGGCCTCTTGATCCCCAAGCTTTACTAAATCTCCCTTTTTACCTCCCAGAACAAGGTGACCGTGACCTCAATGGCCTCCTTTCTTCACTTGTCCAGCTCCTTTCGGCCCCTGGAGCTCGGACCCTGTATGGCCTCCAGACAATTGTCCAGCGAGAGTGGGTGGCAGCTGGACACCCTTTCCTGACCCGTCTGGGAGGGTCCGGGGGAAGTGAGGAGGTGAGAAGGAATTGGGTGATATTGAGAAGGTGAGGGGAAGGTGAAGCTGATTTGGATCGACTGGAGAGATCAGCAGAATGGGTATGGAGGGCCTTGGAAGAGTGTTTGTTAAACAGGTGAGGGTTAGAATAGGTCTAGAGTCTCAGAGCCTTCCAACACTCCCTGTTTACCTTTAAATCCTCAACAGCAGTCCCTAATGAGGCCTTTTAACTTTCAATCCCCCAACTCCAGGCCCCAGTGTTCCTTCTTTTCCTCGACTGCCTCTGGCAGCTGGTCCATCAGTTTCCAGCAGAGTTTGAATTCTCAGAATTCTTCCTCCTGGCCCTTCATGATAGTGTCAGGGTTCCTGACACTCCCACCTTCCTGAGAGACACCCCCTGGGAACGGGCAAAGCAGAGTGGCCAGGTAAGTGATTCTCTCCCTTTGCTTTTCTTGGGCTATTCTTTTTTATTTATTTATTTATTTATTTAGGCAATTGGGGTTAAGTGACTTGCCCAGGGTCACACAGCTAGTAAGTGTCAAGTGTTTGGTCTGAGGCCACATTTGAACTCAGGTCCTCCTGACTCCAGGGCCTGTGGTGTATCCACTGCGCCACCTAGCAGCCCCTTCTTGGGCTATTCTTGCTGAGTTGTAATCATGAACTTTTTTGCCGGTGGTAAGAAAATGGGAAAAGGATAAGAAGTAAGGGAAGTTGCCTGATCAGTAACTGCATGGTCTTTGTCAGAACCCTTTAGCCACTGAGATTCCAAGACCTTTAGGTTTTTTTTGGGGGGGGGGGCTGTTGGGGTGTGTGTGGGGGTAGGTGTTGCTTTATAATACTACTCCTCTGATTTGAGAGGACGGTGGAGAGTTTCCAAGGCCTACCTAGTCATCTTTTTTTTTTTCTTCCTCTACCTAGTTCAGCTCCTATACCAAGGTCTATACACCAGGATCCCCTCAGTCTCCAGTTGGAGACCTTGTCCCCAGACCACTGACCGTCTGGGACTGGGGTCTTCGATATAGCCATCAGCAGATACTTCAGTTCTATAATCCCTGTTATGAACCACACCACTGCTCAGATTCCTATCCCCCTAAAGAACAGGTAAGCCTCATTGTAACCGGGAGAGAGAATTAGGAAGGTGGGGAAGAAACAGTATCTTGAGTTTTTGCTCCTGACTTGCATGGCCCAAGCGTCCCCCAAGGGGATAGGTATTCTAGAACGAGATGAGAGGAGAACAAGGAACTCTCTTCCCAACCAGCCTATGAAGAAGCCACCCCTAATTCAATGTTCCCTCCATTTGTCCTTCTGAAGTCTTAGCCCTAATCCACAGGGAGGTGCTGAAACTCCAGAAGGACTGAATGGTTTGGTAGTGATCTGACTCCCCATTTCCTTGTAGCCAACTCCAGTGACTCCTGGCCCTCCACGATCCATATTTCTCTTCTCTCGGGGAACTCTGACCCCACTGAACCAGCTCTGTCCTTGGCGGGATGGTTTTTCCTCACTGACATCCTCATCACGATGGCACCTCCGACATAATACATCTTCTGATAGCCTGGCTGACCAGGAGTGGGGACTCCCTCCTCACTGGGGGCCCTCCCCTTTGCCTCCAGGACTTCTGCTGCCTGGATTCCTAGGGCCCCAGATCAGACTCTGGAGACGCTGCTACTTAAGAGGGCGGCCTGAGGTCCAGGTAGGGCTGGTATACTAAGGCAGGCATGTGGGGTGGCAAGTGGAGGCCAAGAGAAGGAAATTTGGCAGGGCAGGGGCAGCTAGATGGTATAGTGGATAGAGCACCATCCCTGGATTCAGGAAGTCTTGAGTTCAAATCTGGCCTCAGACACTTCACACTTACTAGCTGTGTGACCCTGGGCAAGTCACTTCATCCCATTACCTCACCAAAAAAAAAAAGATATCAATCAACAAGCATTTATATTAAGTCCCTTCTATGTGCCAGGCACAGGGGAGACAAAGGCAAAAATTGAAACATCCTTTCAAGGAGCTTCTTCAGAGAAGCCAGCATTGAATGGAAGATGTTTACTATAATGCTGGAACAGTCTGGTGAAATCTAGAACTGCAAGGAGATTTGAGGAAATACTAGAAATAGCAAAGGCACTGGGTGGGTGGGGTGGCCACACAGATCTTCAGCGACATCTTTTTTTGTCCTCTTCTATCCCTCAGACAGGTCTATCAGCCCCGACAGTCTCTGGACTCTTGGATGAGCTGGCCCAGCTCCAGGAGCTGCTGAGGACATGGTCATCAGGTGCATTACCTGGGGTTCAGACGAAGACCAAAGACCCAGATACCCCCCTGTCTCCATCCCGATGAGATGTCTGGCCCTCTTTAAGACTTTGGTTTTCTTTGATCTTCAAGATCTTCCCTTTACCTTAACCTCCACCCTCTTCATTTCTCTAATCGCCGAACAAGCTAAATAAGATTTAACCTGCTATTCCTGCCCTTCCTCCAGCCCATAAACACAGGACCAGATTTTGATCTGGAAGGGACCTTAGAGATCTAGTCTTATTCTAAAATGGGCTAACTGGCTGTTTGGTGCATTGGGGAACACATAGAACTGAGGCTCAAGAGAGCTGGGTATTCTTGTCATGGCTCTGACTCTGTATGACCTTGAGCAAATCACATTTCTTGACCTCATTTTCTTAATCTGTAAAATAAATATGTACAGAGTGTCCCAAAAGTCTGGTTTAAGCTTTAATGGCTTAAAGCTGCACTAAGACATTTGGGATAACGTGTGTGTGTGTGTGTGTGTGTGTGTGTGTGTGTGTGTGTGTGTGTAGAATATCTTTGTGGCTATTTCCAGGCCTGAAGTACTATGATTCTAGTCAACCCTAACCCCAATCTCTACTCCTCCCTTTAATTCCCCAGAAACTGTTTTGTGCCTGAAAATTTTTTTCTTGTCATTATCTTATTATTTAGGAAATTAACCTGCTCTCTTCTCCAGGACCATCCCATCCTTTGTGGGTTTATGGTTGCATAGTATTTGAAGTGGAGTTGCTACCCCAGACCTATTCCTTTTCTTCCTTCTGCCTGTCTCTCTAATTCTTAATTTCCAGTTCTTCTCTTTACAACTTTCAATGGAAATAGAATGGAAAAGGGAGAGAAAGAAAGGCAAGAGCTCTTACTATGCGCTAGGTATTGGGCTAAGTGCTTTTTACAATAACCCTGCAGTGTAGATGCTATTTTTATCCCAGTTTTACAGTTGAGGAAACAGAGTTTAAGTGACTTGCCCAGAGTCACACAGCTAGTAGGTGTTTGAGGCCAGATTTGAAATCAGGTCTTTTGTACTCCTGGGCCAGCCCTCTATCTCCTCTGAGTGGAATTGGGAGACACTCTACCACAGAAGCCATCAATGAACAGTGTTAATACAAGCTATGGGTTTTGCTTCTGAGACGACAAATGTGGGAATAAGTGCTAGGATAAAGTTGGGAAAATGGGGACAGAAAATCTTTTACTGTAGGAATGATATGTGGGCACAGGCATCTTCATCCAACTGACTAACCATTCATTACCCATCACTCAATTTCAGTTTCAGGAAAAATAAGGCAATGAGGAGAAGAGACCAAATGAGAATTATGGTGGGTCCCAATTACAGGGGAACTCATGTACAAATTTAGTACATGGCCTAGATTAGAAAGACTTTTCTGTGACTTTTTAGGGGATAATGTGGAAGAGTTTCAGTTGTGTTGGGGGTCAGGCTAGGACCAAAGACCAAACTCTGTGAAGTAAGCTAAGATCTGAATTCTTAGAAGTTCCATCCTTAAGTCTCCTGAAAGATTCAGAAGTTCATGGGAAGTAGTATGGGGACCAAGCCTTTAATTGAAGATAACAATTCGAATAGGGATGGTTCTGGTTTGGTTAACAAGAAGGTGTTTACTCCTTAAATCCGAATTTGTTAGTCACTTGCTTTGTTACAAATGTAGTTTGGTGAATGTGATACACACTTGGGAATTCGAGGGAATAAAATCATATTTCTAATGGAATAATTTAGTGTTTTGAGCTAAAAGTCAGCTAATGTCTCTCCTTCAATACATTTTTCTCAGTTATTAATCTTAGTGCCTTCCTTCTGAGACTGCCCCCAATCTATCCTGCATATATCTTGTTTGTACATAGTTGTTTGCATGTTGTCTCCCCATTAGACCAGGAAGTCCTCGACAGCAGGGACTGCTTTTTGCCTTTCTTTGTATCCTTAGCCTTTAGAACGGTGCCTGGTACCCAGTAGGTGCTTCATAAATGAGAGTTGACTGATTAGGTCATACAGGCAATAAATATACTAATATGCTCAATGTGCATGTGATGTAGCCATGCCTATACTTTCCAAAACTATACTCTAACATCCAGGGAGGATGCCTAATTCAGGGAAAAGAATAAGCAAATAGCATCTACCATATGCTAGGCACTGTGCCAAGGGCTTTACAAATATTAGCACATTTTGATCTTCACAACAACCCTGTGAAGTAGGTGCTGTTATAATTCCCATTTTACAGTTAAGGAAACTGAGGCACAGAGGTTGTGACTTACCCAAAGTCTCATAGCTAGTGAGTGTCTGAGGCCGGATTTGAACTCAGTTCTTCGTGACTCTAGACCCATTGCTCTATCCACTGCAACCTTGTTGCCTCAAGGGACCCTTGCAGGACAGAGCCAGGCAGTTCCACATCGGTCCCAGGAGTTGGATCTCTGGATCACGCACAATCAATGCCCCTTAGGCCTTCTTTCACAGCGGAGCATTCTGAGTGCTGGGGTGCCAGGCAGGTCGTCGGGGGTGCGGGCTGGAGGATGCCCCTGGCACAGATGGAGAGCCCAGGTTTGGCATGGACGGATTGGAGCCAGCCGGACTTCAGTGTGGCGTGGATTTGTGACACTGGCTGCAGGAAGGCCTGGGGGGCAACGGCCAGTAAAGGGCAGCAGCAGCAGCGTTGTCTGCGGTTTTTAGCAAAGCTGCCAACTTTAAGGCCCTTTCCCGGTTACTAAACCTCCCTGGCCCTCAGTTTACCCAGCTGTAGAACGAGGGAAGATTGGACTGGATGACAGCACGCCCTTTCCAGCCCCAGACCCCCCATTTCTCCTCCCCACCTTCCCGAATAGTCCCTACAAACTCTGGTTGGGGGTGGAAACGCCCCCCCCGTTGCTATGGTAACGTTTCGGCGCCGCCATGTTAGGACGAAAGGGAGCTGCTTCTCTAGGGACTGATCACATTTGACCTCGATTTGGGGGTGGTCCTCATACCGCCCTTTCGGGGTGAGGGGAGGGGGACTAAGTTAAACTGTGGAGGTCGGAAAGTCAAGATTATGTGATTAGTTATTTTGCAAAATAAACTTTTATTACTTTCAGATTTCTGTTGTTCGTGGTCGGGGCTGGGAGAGGGGGAAGAGAGCCGTTATTTATTCCCTGCCCCAAATCACGTGAAGGAGGCCTCCGACTGGCCCTTCCGCCCAGACACTACGTGACTGACTCCCAGCACCCCCTCAGGTTGCCCGAGCCAGCTCAGCCAACATGGCCGCTGGCGCCCGGCGCTTCCAAGATGGCCGCTGCCGCGTCTCTCGCCTGTTGTCCTCCGGCAGCCCCGCCCCTACCGCTGCTCCGGAAGCGGAAACGCTCGCGGTGCGGGGCCGCTGCCTGGAGACGGCGGGAGCACATTCAGTATGGCGGCGGGGCCCATCTCCGAACGGAATCAGGGTGAGTGGGGACGAGGCGGGAAGCTCGGAATCGCGCCCGCACGGGCCTGAGCCCGGCTCGTCGAGAGGACCCGGGGCTGGGGAAGGGGCGTCACCGCGTCGGAGAGGCCCAGTGGCAGAGCTGGCCGTGGGGAGGGGGCGGGAAGGGAGGGCGCCCCGGGCCGTGGAGAAGCCGCCAGAGGCGGCGTGGAGGCCTCGGGAGGGTCGCTGCTGCCCCACGGGGGGGGGGCCGGCCACTGACGTTGGGTGGCCGCGCCCCCTCTTGGGCCCTCGCCCCTTCCCCACTCACCGCCGCGCCCCCTTCGCCCCGCAGATGCCACCGTGTACGTGGGGGGCCTGGACGAGAAGGTCAGTGAGCCGCTGCTGTGGGAGCTCTTTCTGCAGGCCGGGCCCGTGGTCAACACTCACATGCCCAAGGACCGGGTCACGGGTCAGCACCAAGGTAAGGAGGGCGTGCCTCAGTGGGCCCGTCTGTAAAAAACACCCTCGTTGAATGAGGAGCTTGAGCAGAATAACGACTGAAAACACTGCAGGAGTGAAAGCCTATGTCAGTGGCAAGTGTGGGTATTTTTCTTTGCTGTCTTCTTGAAACCCTCTCTGGCTTGTAGTTATTTGTGTTGGATTTCTATTTTTTTTTATTTTTTTAGGTAATTGGGGTTAAGTGACTTGCCCAGGGTCACATAGCTAGTAAGTGTCAAGTGTTTGGTCGGAGGCCGGATTTGAACTCAGTGCCTCCTGATTTCAGGGCTGGTGCTCTATCCACTGGGCCACCTAGCTGCCCCTTGGATTGCTGTTATGATGAAAAAGATACAGTTGACATACAGACTTTTTTCTCTTTCCCTTATGTATGTGTTGGGCTTTTTTGTGGGGGTGGGGCAAATTATACCCTATTTTGACTTTTATTAGATGGTGCACACACTACCTAACCTTCTGTCCACTACCTTCTGCAGGCTATGGATTTGTGGAATTCCTGAGTGAGGAGGATGCTGACTATGCCATTAAGATAATGAACATGATCAAACTGTATGGGAAGCCAATACGAGTGAACAAAGCGTCAGCCCACAACAAGAACCTAGACGTGGGGGCCAACATTTTCATAGGGAACCTAGATCCTGAGATCGACGAGAAGCTGCTCTATGACACCTTCAGCGCCTTTGGGGTTATTTTGCAGACTCCCAAAATCATGAGGGACCCTGACACAGGCAACTCCAAGGGCTATGCCTTTATTAATTTTGCTTCATTCGATGCCTCTGACGCAGCAATTGAGGCCATGAACGGGCAGTACCTGTGTAATCGACCCATCACAGTATCTTATGCCTTCAAGAAGGACTCTAAGGGTGAACGCCATGGCTCTGCAGCCGAGCGACTTCTGGCGGCACAGAACCCGCTGTCGCAGGCGGATCGACCACATCAGCTGTTTGCTGATGCACCCCCCCCACCCTCTGCCCCTAATCCTGTTGTGTCTTCCTTGGGATCTGGGCTTCCTCCACCAGGTAAAACATGAGCTCCCTGTGTGGGAGTGAGGGTCAGGCTAAGGCTGGAGGGACTAGGGGAGAGAATAGATCATCATTGTGTAGTAAGGAAGTGGAGAAAGGGTTATGGAGATGGGGGACTTAGAGATAATAAATGTAGTAGGGTTTCTTGGAGAGGCTGTAGATGTTTCATTTGTTTAAATTGCCTCTTATTGTACATATAATTTGTGGAGAGGAAGGGTCATTCTCTTAGGTGGCAGGTGGGTATAGGGACATGGTGGGACAAAGTTTCTGTCCTTTTGATAAAGACTCCTCTTTCTCCATTTCTTGTTAGGTATGCCCCCGCCAGGCTCATTCCCACCTCCAGTGCCACCTCCTGGAGCCCTTCCTCCAGGTATACCCCCAGCCATGCCTCCCCCACCTATGCCTCCTGGGGCTGGAGCCCATGGCCCTCCATCAGCAGGAACCCCTGGGGCTGGACATCCTGGCCATGGACACTCACATCCACATCCATTCCCACCTGG